GGGGGGTGGACAGCCGTAGAGTCTGCGTCTCGGCAGCTCACACTTGGCTCGGTTTGCCCTGCACCATGACTTGCGGACACATCGTGGTGGTGTTGGTGGCTCTTATGAGCGCTTGTGTGGTTATTACTGCGGCAGATGAAGTCTCTGGCTGCTCTGGTGTGATTACCATCCCATCCACCCTCAAGGGGTACGTTCCCTGTCTGTCCCCATATACCCATCCCCATCCCCCCCCCTCCCCCCCCCCGGACACACACTCCGTCTCCGTGGATGTCCCTCCCCAAAAACTCCTCCTCCCCTCCCTCTCCTTCCGCGCCGCTCCCTCCCCTTTTCCCCTCCCCACTCTCCATCACACACACTGCCGTATTCTCTGGATCCTCTTCTTCTCTGCCATACCACTCTTGCTCCCACACCCCACATACCGCCCCCTCCAGCCCGCCGCGTACTCTGTCGGTCGCCGTCCTGCCTCCCCCACTCGCTCGTCCGCCGCCACTCCACTCCGCCGCCCGTCGCCACTCCGCCGCCCGTCGCCCGCCATCGCCCGCCATCGTCGCTCCCTCGCCCACCACCCGCCACCTGCCACAGCTCTCGCTCCTGTAACCGCCACTTCCATCTGGCCTTGTGGAGGGAAGGGTCATGGATATGGATATGGATGTGCCTGTGGGCAGACCTGGGACGATCTGGGCATGAGCGACTGGACGCGACTGGACGCGCTGATGCCTGCGATGGCCGGTGCCTGCGATGGATGCGATCGCTGACCGCAACTGGTTGCGGCTGCGGCTGTGGCTGCTGATCGATCGTCTACTGTCTCGCTCTCACTCACCCCCCCCCCCCCCCCTCTCCGCCTTCCCTCACAAACAGCGCCCCTAAGGGCGCCTTTGACCTGTCGACGGTCTCGATCGTGGCGCGCGACCCGTCGGGCGTTGCGGCTGTGTCGGTTCCGGTGGCGCCGACGGGCTACTTCTTTGTGCCTGCTGCTGACCTCGCCCAAGCACCGCTCCACATGCTGCACGCGGACGGCCCGTCCGGCTGGCACTTTTCGCCGGCCAACGGCGTCCGGGTTGCGATCTCGGCCGACGGCGTGTGCAACGGCGGTGACGACGTCGTTTTCTCGTTTGACGGCTTTGGCGTGTCCGGCACGGTCGGCGTCGATGAGGCGTGCCCGGCACCAGGCTCGCTCGCGGGCACTAAGGTCTCGCTCATCAACACGGCCACCGGCGCGCGTCTCGGCTCGGTCCGCGCTAGCGTGGACGGCTCGTTTGCCTTTGCTGGTGTTCCGACGGCGAGCTACTCGCTTGTTGCCGCTCACGACACCATGGCATTCTCGCCCAACGATGGCGTCGTTCCGGCCGGCAAGCTCGAGGTTGGCTACGAGTCGATGGCGCTCACTGGCGACGCGCTCCTAGCCACCGGCTTCACCGTCTCTGGCGCTGTCGCCGGCTCTGGCGGCTCCGGCACGGCTGGTGTTGCTGTTGTTGTCTTTGGCGCGGCCTCTGCCGCCGCCTCGACACAGTGCCAGCCACTGACCACGCTCGACAAGCCGCTGACCGAGGAGGAGCTGGCGGCTCTGGCGCCGGCAGGCGGCGCGTTGTCTGTCGTGTGCGTCGGCGCCACCGACGACGACGGCAAGTTTGCCTTCCGTGGCATCCCCTGCGGCGACTACGTCCTCGTTCCGCACCACTCGACGGCGCAGGCCTCGTTTGACCTTGCCCCGACCTCGCTCCCGGTCGCTGTCACCGGAACGCCGGCCGTCAACCTCGGCGCGGCATTCAAGATCACCGGCTTTACCGTCACCGGACGCGTGGTCAACGCCAAGGGCAAGGGCGTCGCCGGTGCTACCGTGACGCTCGACGGCGAGCACGCGACTGTGACGGGGCCTGATGGCTTCTACGCCATGACCAAGGTCGCGGACGGCTCGTACGAGCTGGCCGCCGCCAAGGATGGCGTGTTCTTCACCTCGCTCCAGGCACTCGCGGTCTCGTCGGCAACGCCCAAGCTGGCCAATCTGGTGGTGACCGGCTACGCTGTGTGCGGCTCGGTCGAGCTCTCGGCCGACTTTGCCGCCGCCGGCCGTGGCGTCAAGCTTGCTTCGGCCGACGGCGCCGAGGTGGAGCGGACCGTGGTCAAGGCCGACGGCTCGTTCTGCTTTGAGGCTGCGCCGGGCGCCTACGTCGTTTCTGTCGAGGTCTCGGCAGCCGACGCCGCCGCTGGCCTCGTCATCCTTCCGAGCACCGCCACGGTGACCGTCGACGACGCCGTCCCGGCGCGTGTTGTGTTTTCGCAGAGCACCATCGATGTCCGCGGCACCGTCGCGTGCCTCTCGACCCCGTGCGCCGCCGGCGTGACTGTCTCTGCCTCGCCCGGCGGCGCCGTCGCCACCGTTGCGCCCTCGGGCGAGTACACGCTCGCCCGCGTCCTGCCCGGTGAGTACACGCTCACCGTCGCCGCACCCGGCGACGCCTGGTGCTTTGTCGACGAGTCGGCGCCTGTGGTCGTCGCTCGTGACGCCGCGAGCCCGCTCGCCGGGCCGACCTTTGTCCAGCGCGGCTTCAAGCTCGTCACCGTCGCCTCGCACGACATGGTCCTCGATGTTACCCACGTGGCGTCGGGCGAGGTTGCTTCCGGCTTTGAGGTCACCGCCGGCGAGGCCGAGACCTGCCTCGCCGAGCCCGGCATCTACCGCCTCGCCTCTTCGCCGGCATCGTGCTTTTCGCTCGGCAGCCAAGTGAGCTTTGACACGGCCGCCGACGCCGGGTCGCCTCTTGCGCTCACCGCCACGGCCGTGGCGGTGACCGGGCAGATCACCGTCGCCGACACCCTTGGGGCGGAGCTCACGTCGGTTGCCGTTGCCGTCTCCGGCAGCGCCGCGGCCGACACGGTGGTCACGGCAACCCGCGTTCCGGGCAGCGACGCGTTTGGCTACCGGGTGCTCGCCAAGTTTGGCGCGGGCGCCGAGCTTGTTCTCGCGCCGCAGCCGACTGGGGTGCTCCTGTTCAAGCCTGCGTCGCGGACGGTGGTCGTCGGCGCGGGTGCGACCAAGTGCCCGCCGGCAGTCGACGGCTTTGCCGCTGTCCGCGGTATCTACCTCTCGGGTGCGTCGACGCCGGCGATGGCCGGCATCTCGGTCGCGGCCCTCACCTCTGGAGCCGCGATCGCCACGACCGAGACCGGCGCCGACGGCAAGTTCACGCTCGGCCCGCTCTTTGCCGACGAGGCGTACACGCTGACGGCAGCCAAGGCCGGCTTCCACTTTAAGATCAGCCAGGCTGGCGCCGACGGCGAGTACACGCTCAAGTCGGTCCAGCTCGGCTCGCTCGCGGTCTCGACCGACTCGGTGGGAGGCGTCCTGCTCTCGCTCTCGGGCGACGAGTTCCGGTCGAACGTCGGCTCGGACGCCGACGGCACCAAGGTCTTTGACGAGCTCATGCCCGGCGAGTACTACCTCACTGTGGCCATGAAGGAGTACGAGTTTGAGCCGCGGGCGGTGCAGGTGACGGTGGTCGAGGGTCAGCAGGCGGAGGCCGCCTTTGGTGCCACCCGCGTCGCGTGGTCCATCTACGGCTCGGTGGCGGCGCTCTCGGGCGGCGCGGTCCGCGGCGCGCGAATCGAGGCCAAGTCTGCCGACGGCGACGTCGTCGAGACGGCTGTCACGTCGGCCACGGGTGCGTTCCGGCTCCGCGGCCTCGCGCCGGGCGCCGAGTACACCGTCGCCGTGGTCAGCGATGACGGCCTCGCGACGCTTCCCGAGTCGATGACGGTTGCGCTGGGCAAGGCCGACGTGACCGGCGTCGAGTTTGTCACCGCACCCACAGTGCAGGCCGGTGCCATCTCGGGCAGCGTCGGTGGAGCCGGGAACGTCGCCGGCCTCGCCGTCCTCGTCTCCGACGCCAAGTCCGGTGCCGAGGCCGCACGCGTCGCCCTCGACGACACCCGCTACTTTTACCTCGGCGACCTCCCGCTCAAGCGGTACGACGTTTCCCTGGTCTCGGGCGCCGGGACTGAGCTCGGCGAGGTCAAGGTCGACCTCGGGCGCGGGACCGGCGGCGCGCTCGTCCCCCACCCGCTCGTTCGCCAGATCGAGATCGGCTTTGACTGGGCCGCCACCGAGGCCGCCATCGCAGAGGTCTACGATGGCGAGATCGACGCCGCGCCGTTCTTCTTCCTCAGCATGGGCATTGTTGTGGGCAGCGCCGCAGTCTGGGGCCAGCAGCTGCGCAAGTGGTACAGCGACGTGGTCTTTGTGCCGCAGCCCGAGTAGTACACACACTCTCTCTTCACACACAGTACGCATTCCTGAGCGGGAGAAAACTTGAATCGGTTTACGATGGCTGTGTCGTTGCCGAAGCAGCGCGCTTAAGCGAGCTGGGCAAAGCCGACGCGCGACGAGTCCTTGTCAAAGACAGTGTAGACGGTGCGCATGAAGACGTCGCCGAGGATGACCGAGAACTCGGACGAGAGGGTAGCGCCCTGGATGCCGAGAATGCACTGGGTCTGGCCCTGCTGGGAGAGCTTGACGACGTACTGGTCGGGGGTGATGGTGAAGGCCTGCTTCTCGATGGTGACGGTGAGCGAGGGGTTCGACTCGATGCCGGAGCAGTCCTGGTTGACGGTCACCTTGTCGGTGATGGTGCGGGCAGCAGACGGCGAGACAATGAGGAGCGAGGTGCCCGAGTCAACAATGGCCGAGAAGCCGAAGAGGCCGCCGACAGCGCGGGTCGAGCCGACGTCGATCGACTCACCCTTGATGACCCACCACTGCTGGTGCGTGACCTTGGTGTACGTCGGGGTACCCTTGTAGTACTGCGAGTTGAGGCCGCCAAAGGTGAGGGCACCGTTGGTCGACGAGTCCGACGAGAGGTAGAACGAGACAATGTTGTTGAGGCCGTTCTGCTTGGCGATGACGTCAAAGACCGGCGGGACCTGGTCAGCCGAGATCGACTTGTAGGCGAGGCCGAGGAGGCCGTCAATGCCGGCGCCGTTGAAGCCCGAAGCCTGGTTCACAATGCCAAAGGTGACATCAGTGCCGACGAGGCCGGCAATGTCGATGGTGTCAGCAGCCAGAGTGCCCGACACAAAGCCGGAGCCGTAGGTGATCTGGAAGTTCTGGCCGTTCTTCTGGAAGGTCGTCGAGGCCGACTCGTTGAAGTAGTTGCTGTGACCAGGGGAAGGGGTGAGAGATTGCGGGAGGGGAGAGAGGGGTACAAGGCGAGTGGTCAAGGCATGCAGGGTACGTACGTGAAGCCGCAGCCGGAGCAAGCGGTGGAGGCGATCCAGAGGTTGGACGAGCCGGTGTCAAAGTCCTGTAGAGTGAAAAGGGTGAGTGGGAGGGGGGGGAGGGAGGGAAGGGGAGGGAGAGGGGAGCAGGAGCAGCAACATACAAGCGAGAACGACTGGCCGGGGGTGCCGATCTGGACGATGCCGGTGTAGTCGAGGTCCTCGTTGTTCATGAGCGGGAGGGTAGCCTGCGACGCCTTGGGCGCAGCAGACAGGTCCTTGAAGAAGCCCTGCTGGCGGAGAGCATCGATCTCGATGAGCTCCTGGGCGTACCCAGCCGAGCGCTCCCTATGACATTGTATGGGTATGGGTATGTGAGTGAGGGGAGGGGGGAGGGGGGGGGGGAGGGGGGGGGAGTGGGTGGGTCGCAGGTCGCCCGCGAAAAAGCGATGAAAATAATTTTCGCAGAAAGGGATCCATTGGCAGAGACGGCGGCGCAAGGGTGGGGGGAGGGGGGGGGGGGGGGGGGGGATGGGGAATGCGGTGGAGCGTACTTGTGAACGAGCGGGATGTGGACGAGGTTGGCGGTCGCCACGGCAGCAATAAGCGCCACAATGCAAAGAGTCTTAAGCATGATGGTGAGAGTAGTGTGTCGTAGCTGAGGCGTCCGCTGGGGTGGAGCCGCTCTGGACGCCTAACACTCGGACTGGCACAGCGGTGGTCACGTGACTTGCAGACACAGCCGCAGGAGGAGAGGCCCTGGCACATGACAGCGACTAGCACACGCCACTTGCGCCTCGCACATGTGAGTGGGAACAGTCACTGGCCCCCCATCAAGTGGTTAGACCATGTGGCGGAGTGGACAATGTGTCGTGATCGATGCTCCGCGACAGCTGGGGGACGTCGTCGCAACGACGCGCGCCGCTTACGCGCAGGTCCGGCGGTGTGCACAAGATGCGGAGGAGATAGCCGTGCGCGTGGATGTCACACCAATCAACTGGACGCGTTGTATCATGTTTGGCGTCGGATGACGTCGACAGCGTGTCGTCCCCTGAGAGTCTTGAGTTGAATGCCATCGCTACCGCACGCGGTCGACGACGACGTGTCGTCGCAGGTGGCGGCCGCATGTCGGTACCCAGCCTCGGTGCGTTGAAGAAAACCGTTGTTTACGCGCCGGGGCAAAGACGACGGACATTCTTGGTGTCGTGCAGATCGAGGATTGTCGTGGGTGAGTCGATCTGCATCCGGCAAAGAAAACAGTTCCAAGACGAGTCTGTGGCACACTCCGTCTGCACGCGGACGAAGCGAGGCGGCGCAACCCCATACCGGACCCCCGCGACACGATGAGGTCAAGCTTTTCAGCTGCACTCCCAGTGCAGTCAAAGTGATAGCTGCACCTCCCAGCGGACGCCCCGCACGAGGTACCGCCGCACATAGGGGATTCGAGTGCTCCTATCGGAGTGGAACTCAGTCCTGGACTCCACGAGTAGTGCACACGGTGCCAGGGCCCGAGTTGAGGGACGCAAGTAGCGGCCTATCCTCGCGCTCACCGTTACTAACGTCTACCTGCCCTTGGTACTGCATGATGAGGTTCAAGTGCGTCTTGCTTCGTCACCGTCACGTCCACATCAGCAGCCAAGCTCCATGCGTTCCGCGTCGTTGGCGTAGAGGAGGCCCAAGTTCACGCGCCGTGCTCCGTCATCCATAAAGAGCACATCGAACGAGTCATGCGCTTCATCGGCGCTGGCCTTGAAGACGCCCTTGGACACCACTGTCAGAAAAACTCCGTCGACGGCAAGTTCCCCTGTCTCCTGGGATCGAGTCCACAAGTTGGTGACGTGGTCCCGGATGGACGTCCGCAGCACCGCCAACGGATTGTCCGCCCGAAAGATGTCCAGATCAAAGAGAAGTAGCTTTCGTTCCTCAAGCACTATCTCAAAAGGTGACGGCTGCTCCAGCTCAGCTCATCGCCGTCGTCGTCACCGCTCGTGCTGCATGTACGGGACGAGCTGAAATCGCTGGCGTCATCGACTTTGCTCGAGAATCTGCCACGTCCATCTCGGCCTTGACCTCAGGATCGATGCTACCATGTATCATAGCCACAACGCTCAGCGGAGAGAAGCGGGGAGTAGCTGACCCCATCAACATCGCACGCAACGTTGACCTCGACGTCGAGCTTATCCACGAAGCACCTCTTCCAAACTCGAACAATTTTTGCTCGGATCTGCTGATCATACGCGCTCGCTGCCAGGCTCCTATCCACGGCGCGTTTCACTCCCCAGCAGCAAGCCGCGCCCATCTTATTCGGCACCACACACATGGTCATGCGCGTCACAATGAGACACACCGCTCCAGTAGCAATACCAATCAATCGGTAGACTTCTGCGTGACGTGGAGATCGTCGCCGCACCGTAGCGTCTCAGCTGAGAGCGCCCACTCTGGCCCAACATCAGCCATTCCCTTCCCAGCAACAAAGGACATGTGCTACAGCAAGCGCCACGCAGGTGAACTCCTGATGCCACCGCCTGCAATCGGTTCGGACGCTGTTGGATGATGAGCTCGGTGATGATGTCATCTTCGGATCGGCACTCGTTGAACGCAGACGGCGGTGATGACTCTCGTTTTTTTTCTTCTTGCCGCTTGTTTTGGCGCCCATATTTGCCCGTTTGGGCAAAAGACGTCGTCGGGGCGCGCGAAAAAACCGCCGCGCCGTTGACTCGTCACTTTTGAACCGTCAATAAGCAACGTTTGTTAACTGAGATGGTTGCTGTTTTCGGCGCCACTCACCTCACGCCGACCACACACTCTCCGGCCTCTCTTCCCCCCCTCCTCCTCCCAAGCACCTACCCTCTTACACACGTACCGCTTGATGACTACTGACAAGAAAATATCATCTGCAGCTGTGTCTGCCCTTGTGGGCTCCGCCGCCTCGGGCGACCTGCCGACTGTGCAGCGGCTTGTGGGCGAGGGCGTACCAGTCGATGTCTCGGTCGTGGTCGACGGCGCTCTGGTCGATGCGGTGACGGCGGCGAGCAAGGCCGGCGCCATGGACGTTGTTCAGTGGCTGGTGAACGAGGACGGCGGCGGTGGGGATGTGAACAAGATCAACGCGGCTGGCTCGACGCCGCTGGTGGTGGCTGCTGTCCACGGCCACGTATCGCTTGTAGTTTGGCTGCTCAAGACGGCCAAGGCCGACGTCGACAAGACCATTTTCCGCGGCTTTACGGCGCTGATGATGTGCGCCATGATGGGCGCGCTGGACATGGTCAAGATCCTGGTGCGTGTTGGCAAGGCCGATGTGAACAAGGTTAACGACGCTTGCTGGACTCCGCTGTATGCCGCCGCCAACACCGGCCATGTCGATGTCATCGAGTGGCTTGTCTGCGCCGCCCGCGCCCGGGTCGGCGGCCACGGCCTCTCGCCGCTCCTCGTCGCAGCGCAAAACGGACACTCGGACGTTGTCCAGTGGCTTGTCCAGCGTGCCCGGGCCGACGTGAACGCGACCAACGCCCGCGGCGCCACCCCCTTGTACCTCGCTGCCGAGCGCGGACGGGTCGACATGCTGCGGGTGCTTGTCCGCGAGTGCAGGGCTGACATCAACAAGGCTTCTTTTGATGGTATGACGCCGCTGCACATTGCTGCCCAGAACCGCCACACCGACGCCATCTACTGGCTTGCCACCGAAGGCAAAGCAAGCATCAACGCTACTGACAACGACGGTGCCACCCCGCTCCACATCGCCGCTGCCACCCGCCATAGCTTTGCCGTTGTGCAGACACTCGTCGAGTGCGGCGCTGACGTGTCGATCGTCGACAAGCACGGTGACACCCCGCTCCGCGTCGCCGTCACCGTCAAGAACATGCGCGTTGCCGAGTGGCTCAGCGTCGGCGGCGCACCCGGCCTCCCCCTGCGCGCTGAAGCTTAAACTGACGCTGTATCTCGAGAGAAAGTGCGCGAGCAAGCTGGGCTTGTGTTATGCTATGCGTCCTCCATGTATGATTGGACCATCGACTTTGCTATGGCATAGACCTCGCCCACGTTTGGGCGCGCGGCTGGGTCGCGGACGATGATGGCAGCGACGAGGTCGCGGAGCGTCGCCGAGTAGGTCTCGGGCAGTTCGGGGTACTCGCACGCGTCGATCTTCTCGCAGAGGGTGTACAGGTTCATGGCCTCACCGTAGAATGGGTTGCGGAGCGCGGCCATCTCGTAGAGCAAGCAGCCGAGCGACCAGATGTCCGACGAAAAGTCGTACGGCGACTCGTTGATCCTTTCGGGCGCCATGTAGTACGGCGTACCGACGAGCGAGTCGGCGGCGCGAGTCTTGGACGAGAACTTGCGACCGAGGCCGAGGTCGCCGAGCTTGACTCGCCCGCCGGACGAGACAAAAACGTTGGCCGGCTTGAGATCGCGGTGCATGATCCGCGAGCCGTGCATGTGCTTGAGGCCGGCGGTGATCTGGAAGAACAGCTTCCAGATGGTCCGCTCCACCAGCGGCTTCCGACGCGACCGTGCCTTCTTGATCAGCTTGGCCAGGTCACCGATCTGTGCCAGCTCCATGACAATGAACAGATACTCGCCGTCGTCCGACTCGATCCACTCGAAGAACTGGACAATGTTGGGATGATGCAAATCCCGCAGCAGCTCGACCTCCTTGCGGTACGAGGCCCTCTCGTCCGCGTCCATCAGATCGCCCATCCCCTCGATCTGTAGCCCCCCTCCCCTCTCACATCATGATGAGTCTCACATGTCTTTGCTCCCC